TTCAGTTTCCTTGCAAATTAGAGCTAATGTTTCCTTGCAGGACTGTTGTGAAGATGAAACACAGTGAAGAATGGGAAGTTCTTTGCATGTAGTAGACATTCAATAAATGGAAGCTGTGCTCCAGTCGTAGTGGTGCAGGCATCAGGGCATGCTGCCCGATGCTGGAACCATATGGAAGGTTAGATTCAGAGGTTCAGATCTTGGGTCTACCTCAACATGCTTGGCATGCTCGGCTGCAGGTTGGAGAAGGAGGGCACAGATCAAGGCGTGGCGAGACCTGCCAAGGGTGCCTATCTCTCTCTCTCTCTCTCTTTTTTTTTTTTTTTGAGAGGTTTTTGCTATAGGGCACGTGCACTCGCCAGACAGACAGAGAGAGACAGAGAGATAGAAAGCGAGAAATCACCCCCCAGGGGGGACGGCCACTACTCAATCCCTTCTCCTCCGTTCTCCTCTCAGGATCTTGGGCATGCACACACACACACCCGGCGTGAGTTTAAGCCACCGGGTCTGGGACTCAAACCATGGCCGACTATGTGGGAATCCAGCTACATAGCCATTACGCTAACTGCTGGTCCCCCTATCTCTCTCTTAAGAAATAAACAACTCCCAGTAAATGAAGAAGTGGGAGCTGTGATAGCTACAAAGTGGTTGATGTGGCCGTGGACATGCTCTGATTTTAGGTGAATCATTTCTACCATGAAGTATTTATTCCAATGGTTGCTTGACCCCAGGACTAACTGCTTCTTTCTGCCTCACGAGGAGCTTTGCGAGGACATGTGAACTGGGGTACAATATTGTTAGACTTGGTTCTCAGAGGGAAGGAAATGAGTGGCGTGCATTGCTTTCCTCATTCTTGTTTTCTCAGACTCTTAGTATATCAGTGGTCAGTGGTCAAATGTATTTTGCTGAGATAAAAGTTTGTAGGTTTTGGATTCCAGAGGTGCTGCCTTCATAGTCTCTAATTCCTGAAAATATTGAATCATTCTGTTAAAAAAAAGTCCTCTAATTTTCTGCTACAATAGCTGGCTTTATTTTTACATTTCTTAATTGGTATCAGCTTTTCTCTCAGAATTACAGAACCATGGAAACTTGGCATAAGAAAGAGCTTTGAAAGTATTGGAAAGGATACTCTTGCTTCTTTGCAAATCTTTGGGGTCTTCCTGAGCATTAGCATTGACCTAATGTACTATAAAGCACTTTCCTCTGACCTAGATTACGAGAACAGTAGAATGGCCAATCCGCTGGCCATAGCATGACTCTGTCTTTAGACATCACACGACTGCCAGAGGCTGTGGTGCTTTGTCCATATCACTTTGTCCTTATCTCTTGAGTGCACATGGCACAGTACTGCTTCTAGCACCTGCCCTGCATTGTCATAGGCCTTTTGCTAGGAATCAGAACCCACTTTAGACCCCCATGTGGAAGGTTGGAAATGCCTAGGAATTAATGTGCCCTGGGGATAAACCAGTGTCAGACCAGGAGTAGGTGGATAAATACCCCAGCTCCCTCACCTTTTGGGATCTGAAATGCAGGTCTATGCTGATCCTCAGAACTTTCCAGAGGGTCAAGCTCTAGTCTCTCATTTTGGCCACTGGCAATTGGATGACTTCTCTTCTCTGTCCCACTCTGTTATTCTCCTACCTCTTCTTCCTGTCTGGGATCACCTCCCATGTAAACCCCTTGTGGTCAAATTCTCCTCTTAAGGGCTACTTCTGGGGATACTCAGTCTGAGAAAGGAAATGCCTTTCTCTATACTTTTCAATTATTTCTGGTAATACAGTGTTACAGTCACATTTTAGGACGGCTTGTTGAAGTTTAAGGCCACTGACCTTATTGTTCCTTCCTGAGTTTTTGAAAATTATTTCTATACATATCATTATTCTTAATCTTTTTTATTTTTATTTTTTTGGGGGAGCGGTTTTTGCTATAGAGCATGTGCGCTCGCCAGCCAGACAGACAGACAGAGACAGAGAGACAGAAAGCAAGAAATCACCCCCCAGGAGGGATGGCCACACCGCAATCCCTATTCCTCCATTCTCCTCTCGGGATCTTGAGCACACATGCACATTTGCCCGGCGTGAGTTTTAAGCCACCGGGTCCGAGACACGAACCGCGGTTGACTACATGGGAGTCCAGCGACATAGCCATTCACTAACTGCTGGCCCCATTATTCTTAATTTTAAGAATCAACCATCCAGGTTAACCAAACTACAAAAATGCCTTGAATCATATTTGGTGTGTCGTCACAATTTTGGCTAAATTTTGACTGATAAATGTGGCTGGGCATGTAGGTTTTTAAATTTCAAACTCTAAACCACACTCTACCCATCACCATCCCCTCCCCCCTTTTTAAGGAAAACATTGGAGAGATGTTCTAATCAATATGCATAAGATATAATTAGCTGTCTTGGTCATTTTACATCTGTCAAAAGAGGTTGTGCTTGACTGAGGAAGCCCTCAGTACATGAGCTGCTGATATTGCATGTGTCCTGTTGGCCTAAGTAAGGTGGCTACAATCAGTGTGACTTCCAGAAATTTCCATGAGTCTCGCTTTCCCATCTATATGGTGGGAATCATTACTTCAACTTGTACTTATTGAATATTTACTGAGCCAGCAGTGATTACATGTTGGCGAGACGTGTCCGTTTTCCTCCTTTCTTTCCTGAGTGGTATCATGAGGATCAAATTCAACAACAAAGATGAAATCATTTGGGAAATTGTGAATCATCACAGAAATAAAGTGGGTATGATGACCTTCAGCTCTTTATTGACCATTTCAGGCCCTCACGTTGTGACTGGGTGTACTGCATGGTCATGTGTGGAGGCCATGGATTAAACCCTTTCTTATATTTAAAGTCATTTTGTGAACACAGCTACTCTGGACACTAAAGTGGCAGTCATGGTCTTAAGTCAATTCTTTTTAGTGCCAACCTCTGGAAAGAGGCATTTTGGCTCGCCGTCTCCATCTACCAATGATAACTTCTCAGTAAATAAGAGATGAAGGCATAAACTAGGAAAAAGCAGACCACAGAATGTGTATTGGGGTGAGCACATCACCATGCTCAGGTCTCTGCTGTCATCCCCATGCCAAGTTTTAACTGGCGTTTCTCTGCCTTTGTCTTAACTGGTTTTATTCACAGTGGTCAAGGTTGTTGACTAGTGCTTCTTGCTTGAAATTTCTTTCTTCAGTGACACTATTTTTCCTTGCTCTTTTCCTGCCTCTTATGATCCTTTGCTAAATTCTTCCGCTCTACATGCTCTCTGGAGAAAAACTGGATTCCCCAAGTTTTCTTTTTCTACTCCTTTTCTTCAGTGCCCTCTGGGAGGCCCCATGCATGCATATGTCTCTTGCTCTTCCTGTTTGCTTATGCCCCTCTCAGTGCTCTCTGCAGCTCAGCTTGGCTCCCCCAAGGTATCTCCACCCACATTCATACGTGCAGCTCCTTCTTTCTCGATGCTCTCCAAACTCTTCAAACTCAGTGTGTCCTAAACAAAATGGACTGCTTCTCTCCTCCATTGTTCTCAACCTCTGTTCTTTCTCATGGCACTTCCATCCTCATAGTCATCTCAGCCAGAGACCTGGGCCCAGTTATTTGTTCATCACCCCATAACATGTACTCTGTGGTCTTCTTTTTCCTAGTTCAAGCCTTCAAGTTGGTATGTGGTCTTCACTGGCCTCTGCTTTAGGGATATGGAAATGATGTCTCCGGTTGGGTAATGCCCCAGAAGCAGATCCTGAACCAATGTTCAGTTGCAGGTATTTTATTTGGGAGGTGGTTCATGGCCCTACTGGGAGAGGAGTAGAAGGTGATGGGCTGAGTAGGGTAACACCGACTCAGTGAAGCTGATTGTGCCCATCCTTCCCAGCTCCATTTTCAATGACATTGGGTTGATAACTTGATACTGGCCATGATGGGAATATTGACACCATGGAAACTGAACAGGTGGCTACAAATCAGGGCTTTCTTCCCTCCACCACCACCAGAGACTTGGTGGTTAAACATTTCTCAGCCTGTCATTGGGAGCAGGGTATTGAGACAGAGAAGAGACAGTAACTTTATCAAGAGTTACTCTGCAGACAACTGAAACTTAATCCCACTCAGAAAACTCTTGAATCAAGTTTAGAGTACATACCTCGACCTCATTCTACTCAAGTGGTGAGGAAGTTATACATCAATTCTTACCATTTGTTGGCTGAGGGATGCCTGTGTTGAGCTCAGTAATACCCAGCAGCCAGAGGAAACCCTCAAGCAATTAGAGGCAGAATGGTGAACTACAGTGGTGAGGACTCAGGGGAGTCCTCAGGGCAGGGCTTAACAGATATACGCTAATTCAGGTGCTGGGCACCCAGCATTGGTGAAAGCTGAGACCCAGATCTTATTAATGTCTGGTTATTGTCTTCTTATCCCCAGAGCTTGACCTCATGGATCTCATAGGAGAAGACAGAAAGTGGATGGTGGGGAGGAAGCTAATGCAGGTGAACGACACTCTGACTTCTGAAGAAACAGGACTCCGGAACAGCAAGAACTGCACTGAACCAGGTAACGATGATAGGTCCACATTGGACAGTGGCTTCCATTTTCTCTGGTTATGGCCTAGGAAATGCCAAGTGCCGCCTTTTTTTCTTTGCATTCTAATCCAGAGAGACTTTAAACACATTTAGGGTAGATGTCTAAGAAACTCAAAGGTAAGATCCCAAGGGACTATTTAGGTGCATGTCTACTTCTGTATTCTTAAGTGGTGAGGAAGTTATACATCAATTCTTACCATTTGTTGGCTGAGGGATGCCTGTGTTGAGCTCAGTAATACCCAGCAGCCAGAGGAAACCCTCAAGCAATTAGAGGCAGAATGGTGAACTACAGTGGTGAGGACTCAGGGGAGTCCTCAGGGCAGGGCTTAACAGATATACGCTAATTCAGGTGCTGGGCACCCAGCATTGGTGAAAGCTGAGACCCAGATCTTATTAATGTCTGGTTATTGTCTTCTTATCCCCAGAGCTTGACCTCATGGATCTCATAGGAGAAGACAGAAAGTGGATGGTGGGGAGGAAGCTAATGCAGGTGAACGACACTCTGACTTCTGAAGAAACAGGACTCCGGAACAGCAAGAACTGCACTGAACCAGGTAACGATGATAGGTCCACATTGGACAGTGGCTTCCATTTTCTCTGGTTATGGCCTAGGAAATGCCAAGTGCCGCCTTTTTTTCTTTGCATTCTAATCCAGAGAGACTTTAAACACATTTAGGGTAGATGTCTAAGAAACTCAAAGGTAAGATCCCAAGGGACTATTTAGGTGCATGTCTACTTCTGTATTCTTTTCCTAATGAAGTTGGGTGAAAGGTAAGTCAAAAGCAGATTCTTAATTTCATACTGACTTCACACGTGGAGGTTGGTGCTAGCCACTGAGAAACTGAGTCAGCAGTGGTTGGTGGGAATATTCTCTGGCCATCTTGGTTTGGATATACGGGACCCTCTCTGACTGGTTTTCAAACAGGTGCTTTGTTTCTGTCACAGCTAAGACATGTGTTGGGACAGATACTTATCTCTGACATTGGACTTCTTGAAAAAAGTGAATATTTTCTTGGTGATTATAAATATCACATCTGTTGTGCCTTTCCTTAAAAAGCTTTGTGGAGCACTTTACTTCCAATATTAAACTGAAAAAGAAAACAAACTCCAAGAGGATCCAAGAATTCTAGGAATTATCAGGACCCAGACCACCAGGCCTTAGGGAAATGCAGAGTATTCCTTGGGATGGCTTTGCAAATCATATATAGCATCTGTGGTACATGGCTTGAAAATTTAAAACCATCCTAAGCTCACAACTCATACAAAAGCAAGCTCTGGGATGTCACATGGATTAGATTTCTGGTCATATTTTGCCTCCATGACTTGAACTAGGCTCTCTGGAGCCTTCCTTCCTTGCTTGGTGTGAACTTCAGTTTCATGTGTGCCCCTTTTCAGGGCTTAGGAATTTGGTGACATGTTGATTCCACATCCAAAGGCCTGTCTCATTCTGAGTGTCATCACGAACGGACATAAACAATCTTCATCACAGTCCAAAGAACCACAGGCCTTTGAGTACAGATGGTGTTTCAGGAAATTGTGTGTGTGCTCTTTATGGGGAAGGTGGGTAGAGGTGGTCTTCCCCACATACTGAGAATTTTGACAATCAGTTACCAAGCAAAGATGGAAAGAATTGAAAATAGATTCTCTCCATACTTCCTCTTAACCCCTACCTAATCTATATTCTTCAAGCTAGAGAAATCAAGGTTTACATGGCTGTTATTAAATACTCACAAGGGACATTCTTCAAGTACATGGACAACTACATGGGCTAAAAATAAAAATAGTCATGAAGGGTTCAATGTCCCAACAGAGAGGACAGAGCCTTGTGTGATCTACCATAGATTTACGGAAGGCTGACCTGAAGGAACATGACAGGGAAGGTGCAGGTTCTGTGCCAAGAACACTGTTTGCTGATCTGGTTTGTAGTCGAATAGTTTTCAGCATCTTTCTCCAGTCGATATACTGATGGTATCTGAAATGTTAGAAGACAGGAGATCTGGAATTACAGAGCCTGGTTGTCACCTTTGGTGTGGGAAGCATAGCATCAGGCGTGATAAGTTGACCAACTCCAAGTGTTGGATTTGGCCACATGTGGCTGACTGGGATGAAAAACTTGTGTGCCCTGCTGTTAGGGCTGTGTCTTGGGAGAAGGTGGACAGTTTCTCTGTGAGTGGCATTGCTCACTGTGTTGGGAAATGCCATTCTTAGAGTGACAGGTGTAGGAACATAAAAAGGCATTAGAAACCTTAGCCCAAATAAGGAAATGACTCAGCTTCCTAGGTGGAAAATAAAATGTCGTGGTTGATAAAAAGAGCACAAACCCAGCACCTAGTCATGGTGGCAGGGAGGGCACAGAGGAAAGGAGGAGAAGAAAAGCTTCAGGAGGAAAATAACAGGAAGTGACCACAGTCATGCTATCATAGAACAGGTCCAAAAAGAATGTGGAACCAGAGGGACGTTCTTGATGGCCTCATCTGCAAACTAAAGGGACTAGATTGGCTTTTGGGGTTCTGTCTCCAACCCAATTCTGTAGGGAAGATGATCATTCCTGAGACAGGAAGAGTCCTGCTCAAATCCTGACACATCAAGGGCTGGCTCAGAGCCTGTGTTCTTCATGAAGCCTGTTTGGACTGCCCCACACTGAAGTGACCATTCTGATTTCCAAATGCTTTTGGCATGAAATGTCTCTAGCTGCACAGTCCAACGTGGCCATTCAATGGTGATTTAAAGCCAAACAAATGCAAATTAAACAAAATTTAAAATTTAGATTCTCAATTGCAGTTGGCACATGTCAGATCCCCAATAGCCGTGTGTGGCTACTGGTTACCATAATCGGACAGCACAGATTATAGAACATTTTTCATCATCATAGAAAGGCCTATTGGGCAGGCTGGCCTAGAACCTCCAGTTGTTTGTGGACACATATCCAGTCTTTCCAGGCCAGTTACAAACATCTGAAGGATATAGAGTAAATATGTAAATCTGAGAATCCTATCCCTAATCTGGATGTTGGGATCATGCTCACCCTCGTTTGAATCTCAGCCTAGAAGCTGTGGGCTTTGAGCAAAATAGTCAGGTTCTCTAAACCTCTGTCTGCTTCTCTGTCAAATTGGGATAATCATTCTGACCTTTCATAACTGCTGTGAGAATCAGTATTGGAGTAATAAAGAGTGTGTGACTTAGAGTGTCCCATGTTGAGTAGGTGTGCAGTTGGTGTTTACTCGTGGATTTCTCGCTCTCTGCCAAGGTGCCCCCCTCGCTCCATTGTGTTGGGTCACAGAACAAGATTTTTAGAGCAACATTCTCCAGTGACTCCCCCCCTCCCCAAGAATTGGCAGATATGACCTGTCTAGTTCTGTCAACAGGCCACTTCCTCACGTGGCCCAGATCTGAGTGGTCAGTCAGCTGAATGGTGAGGCTCAGGAAACATCTCACACAGACAAGCTTTGGCGATCTCATGTGTGGTAATGAGCACCAGCACCTTTGCGGAATCAACTGTTTCTAACAATGACTTGATCAGAACATAGGCATGGACACACTGGAAGTGTTGGTCTCCTTATCAGAATGCCGGCAGAAACTTACTCCACAGTCTTGACTGAATAGATAATTTTTTTCTTTTTAATTTTGTTTACTATTGTTATTATTTTTTAAAAATTTTGCTGTAGCACACACACTCACCAGAGAGAGACAGAGAGAGGGAAAATGAGAAAGCAACCTTCCAGGTCTGGGACTTGAACTGTGGTTGGCCATGTCAGAGTCCAGTGCCTTAATCACTGCAGCACCTGCTGGCCCCCTGAATAGATATTTTATGAAAAAAAGTTGAGAGCCAGAGCACTCATAAAGTCCTGATTTATAATTACAATTTTAAGGCCAGTCCGTGGGATGGCAGTATGGTGGCTGGATCCCATATGGACAATGCTACGGTTGGAGTTCCAGATCTAATGGCTTGAAAACCACACCAAACGTGTGCATGCATGCCCAAAATCTCGAAAGGAGAAGTGGAGGAGAAGGGATTGCCACAGGACTATTTCCCATGGGGAGTACTTTCTTGCTTTCCTT